GATACGACACATGATCACCCTCTATCTCTCTAGCCCCTTGACCTTTCACAACCAAAATTTAATAACATCAATGCCCCTTATATACAAGCTACCGTGCCATATTTGGTTTCTTTACCTTCATCCCTACCTGCGATATTAAGCGAAATAGATGCCAACACAAACAAACATACTACATACATAGCCACATTTTATGCCGATTTTTTTTTTACTTTTTGGGGTTTAGGGGGTCTCAAAACGTGGAGATTTACAAAAATCTCGGAAGGTCAAATTTGACACGATTCCATAACTTTCCAGGAAAGTAAAAGCGTAACCCATAGATTTTAAAAATATGTTCCAAGTGTATCTTGTGTTTTCATAGCCTAATGTAACTTTTCCAAAAGGGAAAGGTCTCAAAATTTCTATTGTAAGGAGTCGAAGTCCGATCGTTATTTTAAGTTTCGAGCGTTATTTTTAGTTGCTGTTATTTTCTTTTAGGGGACTTTGTTTTAAGGATGAAAACTCCCAAGAAACCCCAAAATATACCAAATTCAAAATTAAGCCCAACAAATATTTATTTGCATAAGTGACCGATCCCGTAACGCTTAAATATGTAAATAGGGTAATACGGAATTAGAAAGAGATCTTTCTTGAAGCGAATTGTCAGGCATTCTTTTTGATAAAGCGATCGACTCGTAAGAGGTGTATTCTTTGTTTTTTTTTTTTATTTTTGATACCGATGGAGATTTAATTAATTGTACGTCCCGAGCTGAGAAAAAATTTCTTCCATTCATTGTTTGTACGTTACATCATGTAGATTTTTGAGGGATGGGGCTAAAGACATTTAATTACCAAGGAGAAGGAAGGGGTTTAAACTATAACTAAAATGGGACACATAATTCATGAACGAACCTTTTAAAAAAATGTATTTTTTTAAAATTGTATTTTAATTAATGTTATACAAGTTACTTTAATATACGTAAACCCATAAAAAGGAATTAAACGCCGATTGAAGAGGGGTAAAAAACTCCGAAACGCGTATCAGTGAATAAATAAAGAATGTAATAAATGCTTTGTGTTCTATTAATTACACTCCATTCTGCTGAATAAATTAAATAAGAAGACAGTTTAAAATTTGGCGAACAATTCATAACACAACGAGCAATTATTTATTGTGACATCGTCACAATGCCGGCCTGCAATTTTTAATCATATTCTTTATTTATTTAGATAACATATATTTTAAATTATCTTAAATTAGTAGTATTTTGTCTCTGTACATCATACCTTTTCTGATAACAACAGAGTCGTGTCGGTCATCTATGTAACTCCATTCAAGGGAAATATTTGAATTGAATTCACGTGATTTTCGGTCTAGATCGGAAGTTCTTATATAGTTAATCGGGGCCTCCTGCTTCTGAGATTTCCATATCTGGTCTCGAATTTCATCTATCACACACCTTTCTCGAGATTCGGGATGGACATACGGCGACAATGGGAATTTATAGGTCTACAATTTTTTCAAATTGCCGCCCAAGTAGACTATTTGAATATGACATCTATTCTTTCTCTAAAGAATATTGTGGAGTTTTGGGTACCTTTTTTTCACAGGTTAAATTTTGATGTTCTCGGGATTTCTCAAAAACTTTATTTTTTATAAGGTTTGTTATGAAGTAAATAATGTGTAAGTGGCGTCAGTGGCTTACATTGACCATACAATGGAGGGGGTCGGAATTTGGTCATATGGCCTCTTCTTAAAACATTGTTCAAAGTTGCGACGTTGCCTATTATTTGTTGAAAAGACGTTACGGACATGACTTCATGTGCATGAAGTCATGTCCGGGAAACTATTGATATTAGCAGAACTGTAGAAGTAACGTTGACCAGAAGGATGTATTAAATTATCAATTTCGATCGAGAACTGATAATGCGACAGCAACTCGCATCTATGCAATTTTAAAAAATTGTAGACCTATAAATTTGCACTGTCGTCCGTCTGCTTGTCTGTCATCCTTTAATCTCGAGAACGGTGTTAGATAGATGACCAGATATAGAAAACTTAGGGGCAGGAGGTCCCTATTAACTATATATGAACTTCCGGTCTAGAACAGAAATCACGTGAATTCAATTCAAATATTACCCCTGAATGGGCACGACTCTGTTGTTATCAGGAAAAGTATATAAGGAGTAAGACACTACAAATTTAAGATGGAGAACATATTTTAAATTGAATAAATTAAGAATATGATTAAAAATTGCAGTCCGGCATTGTGACGATGGCACAATAAATATTTGCTCGTTACACAAGTATAAATTATTTAATTTCATTATTATAAAAGAAACGAGTTTTAGAAACTGAAATGTATGAATAAGAAAATGATGATATTGATACTAGCTGGTGCGAGCTACCATCCGATACAGTGGATGATGATACCATGCCGAAAATATCACTTAATACAGCACTTCAGATTGTGTGGGAATAGGCTCTAGAAAAATACAGGCTGTTTGAAATTAAGGTATACCATTTTACACCACTCTGGAGACAGAACTGTTAAAGATAGATCGATAAAAGTTTATTTCGACACTGGAAAACTATGGACAGTTTCAAAAATAATTACAATTTTTGTCGCTAAGAATCTATAATGGTGCCACGGTTGCATCAGCTTTACAACAGCAACGCTGTTAAGACGTTTTGCAAACTTTTGCTATCCTTAAACTACGGCAGAGAGGATGTTTAAATAACATCATGTTTACGCAAGACATGAGCATGACCCCTCATCGTGTCATTGTGAGAGAAATACTTGTCTAACACGTGTGATAATCAGTCAGTTTTTCAATGCAATATCCATGATCCATTCCACAATTACCCGATTCCACATCTTGTGACTTCTGGTTATGGTAAAATGGTGATGTTTTCTGCGAGCCAAAGCGGGACTCTTTTCACATTTTGTCAATTTTGCGTATTGTATATCTGATTCCACCTACACTCGTCAACGGCCTTACACAGCTTTGCTTTGCACCTTACAATTTTCGCCGACCGCAAGCCAATAAGAGTAAGTTAGTCACAAAAGAGATAGCCTGAAGAGGGGAAGATAACAGATTTTTTTCTCTTCACATCAGCATCCGCTTATATCTTTATTAAGACGTTTCATTTTTAAACCGCCATTGACCCGGTAACTATGTTTCTTGCGAATTATCATAGATCATAGAATTCAGAAGCGCTCGTGTAATATTAAAGTGCCAACTTTGACCCTTAATATCTCCAAGACCAATGAACCGATTAAATGAAATTTAAATATTTAATATCCACGATTAAAACTATGTACACGGCGGGAATAGCTCAATACAAAGTTCTATCCATTATTATAATAATATTTGTCTTTCTCTAGTTGAAAAAGATCAATCAGGAGATCAATCTTTGGTCTCAGAATCTTTGAAAATCACTGACCTAAACAATAATTTTCAACTGGTGTAACACGAAAATTTTTGAAGGATATTAAATAAATTATTTTCAAAATAAGCCTAAAGAACAATAAGTATACATGTCAAAATTAAAACCTTTTTAGATTGATTATACGAGTTTCTCATTGTTATAATACGAGATAATTCGTAAATAATGTAGTAAAAAGTACATATTTATAAACAAAGTTATGTGTACATAACAGCGGGTTATTTCATTAAAAATGAAATTTTTTTAAACCAAAAATGTATCTATAATTATCCATATTTACTTCGAATTATTTTAACTTAAAAATAGTGGAACATTGGGCAGGTTTCTAAAGGCAATTATTCTAAAGGTCTCCAATTATTCATCCATTTAATGGAAGTACAGTAGTATAAAATTAAATAAATGTTTAATGTAAATTCCAATCAGTTTAAATTATATTTTTAATTGTGATATGGCGATGTTATATACGAAATATACTATAAAAGTGATAATGATTTCCGGATGCTCGAGGCAGTCAAAACATCAATTTACTGATCTGGATGAAATTAGAATGATCGAAAGACCCAGAAATTTTTTGCGAAGTGGGGTGTGCCGAATATATCTGTCGACGTTCCCTCACCACATTTTCATCAAGTCCCCTTCGACAGACTTGATGAAAAGGTCCTCTTAGTGCCCAGAGGGTAGAAAGAGCAAGGCTGGATGGCCGAGCGGTTAAGGAGGCAACCTACTGCTCTGGGGACCCGGGATCGAATCTGGACTGGGTCGAAAAATCCCAGGAATTTTTCGGATGATAGTCTGTTCAGATATGTCAGGCCCAATCCCTCACCACCCGGCCGCCCCATTGTGGGCCTAGCCGAACCCATAATGGGCTTGCAATTGGCTCCTCTTACTGCTCACAAGGCGGAAAGAGTTTTTTAAAAAAAAAGTAGAAAGAGTAGAGTAAAAACGATTTAAAAGAAACTTATCAGAATTTCATAGTGATGGATGGTTTAATCACTTCAATAAGGCGTAACATTTAAAAATCGAAGAATTTCAGAAACAGAATGGATACATTTCTGTCAACCATTGTAATACTGGTTCCTTCTTAAAACACACGAGAACGTATGCAATGAAATCGACAGCATGGGTAAAATCTGTGTCACAATGTTTACGAGACATAAAAATTATTTACAATTTTTCAAGAAAGCAAAGCCCACCAGTGTCCAAGCAGTTCTGTTCCCTAAACACTGAGAGTTCAGTCGTGGGTTCGCACCTCGCCAGGACAGACTGGCCACGTATAGTTTTCCGGGATTTCTCCACATCTGTAACGAATAGGGCGTTACAGACTTGGAATTATCCTTAAAAAGACCTCCCGGAAGGCAGATCGCCCACGTGTTGCGTTGCCATAACTTAATAAAAACAAAGCAAAAACATAAAATTAGTACACAATATATTTAAACTTAATTTCCGTTTTCTAAAGAGGAAAATTCCGTTCTTCCTACTTCCATAGATCTGATAGAAAGAGTGGCACATTACAGCATTTACAAGCGAATTTCAATAATTTACACAACAATATCGCGAAATATAACAATTCATTTGTTTCATTTTTCCAGGAAAGTATTTAAATCTACGATGAATCCGCAGGCTCCTACAAATTATCTTTCTGTTTCAGTCGAAATAATTAGTCAAGTGATGACGTAAGTTTTTGCATTCGAAACTATAAACATTTTATTTTGGCCTGTTCCCTTTCCTCGGGGCACTAAAAGGGCCTTTGTTTTCCATACCCATATGACTCGATAAAAGACGAGGCAATTATTTTAAAATCGATTACCTTGTTAAGTGATGTAATGTGCCACTCTTTCTATCACGTCTATTAGGTTTATAGAAGTAGGAAGAACGGAATTTTCCTCTTTAGAAAATGGAAAACAAGTGTACAATTTCAGTAAAATACATAAAATGACACCTTTGAGAAAGCTTGCTGCTAAATATATTCTATCGGTAACGAATAAGGAAAACATATTTAATGTTTACGACTTTGCATGCAAAGTAGCCGATAACAATATTAAATATAAATGTTGGAAATGGTTCGACGACGAATGTATGGAAGTGTTCGAGAAATCAAATTGTTTTAACTGTAGTGAAAACACAATCAGCACGCTCGTATCTCGTCCCATATATAAATGGATGGACGAAGCGGACGTCTTCCATATTGTTTATCACTGGGCTGAGGCCAATGTAACCAAATCGGCAAATCTCAGAACCGTTATAGAACCGTACTTATCAAAAATCAGATTCCTAACAATATCACCGGAACGCTTTAACCGTTCTGTTTTGCCACTTGCGAAAGGACAATTATTGACGGATGAAGAAATTGAAGGCATAAAAGAATCCTTACCAACCACATCTGTATCAAATCTCCCTGCTACTATTTGCAGAAATACAAAAAAGAGAAGAAATACATATTACGAAAACTTGTTTTCCTATAAGAATCGAAGTTCCATGAAAAGTGATAAAGATATTCTGGTGACCGGTAACACCCGATTTTTATGTAAAATAATTGCAAAACACAATTGCTTCGTTACCGAAATTATTCTTCCAATAAGACATGCCAGACACGGCAGTATTTCAGTTTTCGTGGATGTTTTTAATACTTACAGAGGAAACTCATTTACCCAAAAATTTTCTTGCGGTGCCGAAGGACGTGCAATAGGCTCATTTTACATATATATTAAGAAATATAAATCATACGAAATTACTGCTCGGATTAAAGAGACTCATATTCTTCCAGAAAACAAAATACGAGTGATAAAGGACAGCCATTATTATATTCCTTCAGGAGAAGAGAATGAAGCTACAAATAACGAAAAGGAGGAAGAAAACAATAGACAAAATTTTTATTTTGAAGTAAATCTTTACTTCTAAAACTAGAAGAAGACAATAAATAATTTTATTCATAAAATGTTTTGTTTTATTTATTTTTAATATTCAGTAAGTTTGCATATGGTGAGAAAACGACTTTCTCATTATAATTATGAAAGATTTTGTTATACCATAAAAATCTGGTGGAACCAGCTTGTAAAGTAGAGCTCCGCAAAAACATCGAAATAAAGGAAACTTTTGAAAGTTGTGTCATAACATCGGGAGATTAACAGCAATACTCAATATTTGAATAAAGTACACATTACACAGCCTATAATTACAAGAAGTTTTTGATGAAGTAATGTCACCATGATGATAAATCGGATAAAAGGCTTCGAGCTTTACTTTGTTTTATTTAGTTATAGCAACGACAACACTTGAGAGATTTGCCAATGGGAAATGCCTTCCGGGAAATCTTTTTAAAAGGTAACTGGCCTCTATTCAGATGTTACAGAAGTGGAGAAAACCCGGAAAACTCCACCTGGCCAGCCCGTCCTAGCGAGGCTCGAACCCACGACTAAACTCCAGTGTTTAGGGAACGGAACCGCTTGGCCACTAGTGGGTCAGTTTTACTTTGTGCCTTCACTGGATTGTTCGAAGAAGCTCTAAGTACTAATGTTCGGCCAAATTATTGAAGGTGCAACGACTTTAATGTAGTAAGTACAGTTCAAAGCCTTTTTGTGAAGATGCTTGTTTTCCGGATTCATTTTCACGGTGACATTGCTCCATTAAAAACTTTCTTTAGTTGTAGTCTGTGTTATGCGTACTTCTTTTACATGTCGAGTCTTATTGTCGAATCTGCTTCAGGTATTCTTATGCCATAACTTTCAAAAGTTTCCTTTATTTAGATGTTTTAACTAAGCTTCACTTTTCAACCTGTTTCCACAAGTTTTTTATGGGATAATAGAGCGGTTGCGGTCGTCGTATTCAGCACAAAACGTGAACGGCGGACGGTCGAGCGCAGCCATTTGGCAGTTCTATACGGTCGATAATGGTGGTCGCTACCTCTAGCATGACAAGTAGACGATCGGCTTAAACTTCATTTTTTTGTGTTTGGAGTTAAAATTGTGAATAATTTTATTAAAATAATGGTTATTTAAGCATTTAGGAATAATATTGTAAAGAAACAGACGATTTTAATCCAGAAATTATTTAATTATTCTATTTTTTAGCAAGTGATGCGAAGTGACTATAGAATCTATATACCATGTATTTAAAAGCCATTGTCGTGTCCCGTCTGTAACGGTATGCCTAAAACGCCCACTAGGGGCACCCTAGAGATCATTTTAAATTAACAATAAATTATTTTTATTTGTAATAGGAATTTATTATTCATATGAATTTATTATTATATGCCTTGCCTTGCCTTATTATATCCCTTGATTAACCTTACGCCGCACGTTTATATCCCGTGACTCACAAGTCAGTGAACGTCGCGCATTGACTCACGGGAATTTGTGGAACATTTAAAATCGAGGTTTACAAGCAAAGTAAATAAACAAATTAAACTATTTTAAAGTTTTATAGAATGTTTAACAAGTAGAAATGTAGATACGTATGATGCGATTGGGACTTTAACAGAGCTGTAGAGCATATTGATAGGAACAAAAAAGTCAAAGGAACCGTGTCTCAGGGAAATTTCTAAAGAACACCCACTAAGGGGCGACCCGGGCTACTAGTTTACATATATTTGCCTTCATATTAGCTTATCTTACGGTAGGTTTGTTCTTCCACGGCATCTTCTACCATCAACAGCGTAATACGTTTGTAAATTTACTAAAAATTACTTTTCCGAGCTACTTTCGAATTTACATAGGCCACTACTTCCCTCGACAAAAGTATGAGGTAGGCCGATCGTACGGTAGAAGACATCACTCTACTTAAAAATAATTATTTAGTGTTATTAAACATCCTATAAATATTTTAAAATAATTTGTTTATTTACCTTCACTGGTAACCCTCGATGTTAAATGTATTCGCCATTTTTTCAACAAATTTCCCGTGAGTCAATGCGCGACGTTCACTGACAAGTGAGTCATGTGATGTTGTGAACATGCGCTGCGACGAATTTTTCTTGAAGTTAAAACGTAAACCGCGTACTTCTGCTTGCCGTGTAAAAGTAACGTTTGAACTTGCGCCGCAACCTCTCTAATAACAATTAACTACTGGCCAGGTGGCAGCCTACCGCTCCGGGGGGGACCCGAGACCGAATCCGGTCGGCTCGAAAAATCTACAGGAATTTTTCGGGGAGTGGTCCGTCCGGATATGTCGGGTCCCGTTCCTCACCACCCAGTCGCTTCATTGTGGGCCTGGCTGAACCCATAATGGACTTGCTAAAAACAGGCCCTCTTAGTGCCCACAGAGCGGCGAGTTAAAAAAAAAATTAACTGCAGTGGACATCGGAGCAGTATACATTTCAGGATATACAGGATATTACAAAAACTGAATTGTAAATTTAAATTGTCTCAATCCAATCCGATGTTCAACAAATATGTTCGACACTGCATCCTTTGCTGGAACACATATGTTGAATAGTATTTTACTGATGGGATTTTTCACACAAGATCTTAACATTGTATGACTCATACATATAGTTTATCGCACGAGTCCCCTCGGAGATATGTAAGTTACACTTAATCAGAAGCACCGTAAGTTAAGTTTTCTCCTTTGTCCATATAGTTGTCATATGAGAGATCTTTTTCAGTGGGGCGTTAGTCCCAGGAGCTTCAGAGATATCAGTATCACTCAAGCTATATTGGTGTATATCGCTCGAGATGTTCAATCGGTTGTCAGTGCACTCTATATAATATACTTAATATAATACGTATACCATATATACATATAATATACATAATTGTTTATCTTCATTCGATTTATTGTTTTCTGGCATTAGACAAAGATATATGACGATACGTACTGTACAACGAAAGTTTAGTTTTTGTTTTGTTTATATGCCATTTCGGTAAATATGTAAATTTGCAGACTAAAAAAACTGCATAAATTCGTAATAATTTGATGTTTATATTTATTTACATATTTATACTTACATTCTAAAAGAACAAAACATTAAATTATTTAATAATAATAATAATAATAATAATACGAACAACTTCAACGAAAAAACTTCGATTAAAGTCGCAAAATTGCGATATCAACCTTAAAATTTTGTCAATAGATGAAGTCAGAAGTATATCTAAATATATAAAATTACTTGTCCTGACTGACTGAATGACTGATTCATCATCGCCCAGAGCAAACCGCTGAACCTAGAGGTGAAATTTGGTACACAGTTATACCCCGTTCACACCGAGCATTTCGATCTAGATTGTGACCAAAGTCTGTGACTATGCCTTGGTCGACTTCTCTCGACCGTTTCAATCTCGACTGAAACGAGGTTCAATCGCGATCGACTGGAGAGAGTTCTCGAAATTAGATCCGGTTATAAGAGAGATCCCACAATCCCACGCGCGCGAGAAAATACAAGATGGCTGCGGAACACGTTTCGGGCTATCGACAGAGAAATAAAAAAGACATCTGGAGAGACGACGATATCTGTCTATTATTAGATGTATGGCAAGAAAAGTACTGTATTTACTTCTAAACAAAACTTCCATTTTGTTTGTTGGTGTTTGTGACTTACCGCGTAGTTACGTCAGTTTTATGATCGCGTGTAATAGCCAGGTTCTTCTCGAGCGGACTGCCTGTGCGAACAGCACGACGTTCGACTAGCGACAGTCACAATCCAGATTGTAAGTAAATCGAGATCGAAGTGAGTCGTGGATTGTGTGCGAACGTAGTATTAGGGTACGTCAAGAAAACGCACACTAAGAAGGGATTTTTCGAAATTCCCAAGCGGGAGAGAGAGGGAGAGCATTAAGGCTTAACCAGAAAAACGGCTTATACTGTACTATTTTAGATGCGATTTTTTCTTTTCAACTACGTTTAGTCTTTATTGAGTACTTAGGTGTATTAAATTGATAACATTTCAGACATTGTTATAAATATTTTTATCTATTTCGATTTTTAAAATGTTCGAACCGTTTTAAATTCGAATTTGTTATTGCGTATTGGTTCGATTATAGAACGATTGTAAACGTTCCA